AAAAAAAAAAAAGAACCTCCTCCATAATGTCCACTCGTGGATTGTGATGACAGAATACCAGCAGTTAAAGCCCTGGGGACCCACCCCACCCAGCTTCCAGGGTTCCTGGGCTCTGCTCTAGCTTTCCTCGTCCTGGACAAACTGCTGGGCAGGCCCGGGCCACCTGGTGGCTCCCCTGCGGAACTGCACCCTACTTTCTGCAGGTCTTGCAGGCCAAGGAAATGATTGGGCGAAGGCCCAGCTTTGTGCCCCTGCTCCCTGTCCACTCCTTCACCAGCAGCCTTTCCTCGTCTCCTCCCTTCCGGGACCCCTGCCACTCCGCAGGGCCACTGGCCTGCACCTCTGGGCACTTGTGTCCTCTCCCTCCTACTGAGTAAAGCAAAGTGGTCATTACCAAGTGGAATAACAAAGACCTCACTTTGCCCACTCCATGATCTAAGGGACCTTCTTGGTGTGGTCCACAGAAAGCCAAGCAGTGGGCTGAGGGTGAAGGCAAAGGGGGAGGGGGACAGCTGTCCACGAAAGAACCCAGAGACCTGCCTGGTAGCAGGGTTCACAAAACTGCCCTAAAGCAGAGAGTAAAACACTTTGTCTACAGTTTGTAGGACTTGCTTGGGACCTTGAAGCACAGGTCAGCACGGTCCTATGTCACAACAAATCTGTCAAGGCCAACACTACCAGAGACCTCAGAGACCTCAGGGTCTGAGGACCTTTCCTTGTCTCACCCCGCTGCACCTCGGGTGCTTCCAGGAGTTTCTGAGGGTCATATTAACTAAAACTTATACTCAAAACCAGATGTAACCTTTAAGCACACTATTTGCCTATGGTTTTTACAGTAAGAGAGGAAATCAGAAGAATGATAAAATCTAAACAGACTAATTTTCATAAGAAAAAAGAAAGTGTCAAAGAGCTACCTCCAAAACACCTGGCACGAACAGTCACGGGCAAATTCTACCAAATATGTAAAAGAGTAAATGATCCTAATATTATTACATGTTCTAGTACATGTGCTGCCAAAGCGACCACTCTATTACATTGTTCTAAAGTTTAGTAGAGGAAAACTTCTTAATTCTTCTTATGGAGCAAATAAATCTTTGATAACAAAACACGACCAAAGATGGCATGCACCCATGCATACATACACACGACAGTTCAAATTATTTATGCAAAATAAAACACTAGCAAACAGAACCAAGCCGAACATTAAAAGAAGCATGACCAAATGGAGTTTCTTCCAGGAATGTAATACTGGCTCAATATTAAGAAGCCTATTAATGTATTTTTTCACATTAAAAGATCTCAGGATGAAAAATCGTAGCATCATCTCCATTGACACTGAAAAGGCATTAGACAAAATTCAACCACCAATCTTAGATAAAAACAAATAAACAAAAAAACCACCACTGAACAAAATAAGAATCAATGGTGTGGGAGAGCATCTGAAATGGTTCCCAATGAGACCCACCTCCAGATACTCCTGCCTTGGGTACCCGGGTACCCCCACCCCTTGAGTGTGGGCTGGGCTCAGCGACTCGCTTCTAACAGGATATAGCAAACATGATAGGATGTCACCGCCATGACTGGGTTATACAAGACTGTGACTTCCACCTTGTTTGCACACACTGTGACCGTGGCTGTGGAAGACTGTGAAGCAGGTGGCCCAGCCAAACCATGCCTGGATTGCTGACCAGAGAAGCTATGAGATCATGCATGTGTGGTGCTTTACACCAGTAAATGTGGGGGTATTTTAAGGCGGCAAGGCATAAAGCACAGGGCAACAGCGCCAAGTGTCACCTGGGAAGTGTAGGGATGACCACAGACATGGACGTAGGACGTGGAGTACCTGTTGAGCAGTCCATGTGTGTCAGCCCCAGATCACTGGCAGCTTTCATTTTCTTAGCGGTGTGCTCTGAGGTAGTGGGTGAGACCAGAAGGCTTGTGGTAGAGAAACAGGAAGCATCGATACCGAGGCTACCGTCTGGGGCGTGTTCAGCCTGCTCCATCTTCCTTTTCCGAGAGGGCAGAGCAATGGAAGAGGGGGTCACTGCCAATGCAGTCTGTGCTCTCCCGAGCAGATGGCAGCCAGGAATGGAGTGCTGGAGCAGGAAATGGTCGATCCGGGCCTTCAGGGAGGGGTGAGGCAGGGGCTGGGAGTGCGGAGTAAAGGCCACCCCCGTGAAAGGGTCGCTGGGCACTCGGCCCCACGCAGCTTCGCTGCGGTTACACTTCTCCAGCGTGCTCTGGTCGATGACCTTGCCTGAGGGCAGCAGCATGGGGCAAGGCATGATCTCCAGGGTGATGGGATCCAGGAACTCCTCAGGCACATCCCGAATTACCTCGGCTAGCTCCTGCAGGCTGGAGGGGGCCTGCTGGCCCTCAGACAGGCCTGCGGCATCGCAGTCACTCTCCATGGGCAAGGCTGGGGCCTGCAGAGCCAAGTCCTGAGGGAGGCTCTCGGAGGCAAGCAGCAGGACACTGTCTATCACCTCCTGAGAGCAGGTTTTAGCTGGCTGACCCCACACTTCCAACCGTTTGATGCAAGGGATACCGCTGCCTGTCACGTGGGTGATACAGATCTTGAGATGGGCCACATGGCTAAGAGAAAGAGCCCCTTTATTCCAGAGCTCCTGTGCCACAACAGCGGGAGAGGGGAGCGTGGCTTCCATTGGGCCAAAAGGTGGCCTGGCCTTGAAGCCCCTGTGGCTAAACACCACTTGGCTCTGGTTTTTCAGTAAGACTTTGCCTACCAAGGTGAATGCCTCCTTGTCCGGCATGGATGGCTCGGCTGGGCCCGGGGTCCGGCACTCGGGGGCATTCCAAGACGCTCTGCTGGATGAGGCGGATGTGTACATTTCCAGGCCTGTGACATTCTGGCCTCCCCCAGCTGTGAGGTCTATGTTAATCCTACAGATTTCCACACTGAAGGGAAAGGAAACTGTCACATAGACTGGTGGCTTAATGAAATACTCTGTCCTAAAACCATGACTTCTCTTTGCGAGGTCTTCAGAGATGAGATTTTCTACTTCATAACCATCAGCTGATATCTAAAGTTAATGACAAATATGAGATGCATTCATTTGATGAGATCCAAATGAAGACAACCAGTTTTCAAGAACTTGCCACTTCTAAGAAAATTATTTAAAGAAAGTATTAAGTTCCTCATTTAAAATGCCCCCTATCACACCGAATTCTCCTGGGTTTTTTTTTTTGGGGGGGGGAGGCACTCAAGATCAGGTCAAAGGCCGAGGGCAACTTGTTCCTAAGTACTGCCTATTCTTAAAAAATACGAACAAGGGGCCCCTGGGTGGCTCAGTCAGTTAAGTGGCTGCCTTCGGCTCAGGTCATGATCCCAGGGTCCTGCGATCGAGCCCCACATCGGGCTCCATGCTCAGCGGGAAGCCTGCTTCTCCCGTTCCCACTCCCCCTGCTTGTGTTCCCTCTCTCGCTGTGTCTCTGTCAAATAAATAAGTAAAATCTTAAAAAAAAAAAAAAATACGAACAAAACTCTGCTCAACCCAACCAAAAATCCCTGCAAAATAATGTCTCTGAGAAAAAAAGGGCTGATATACTAGTGTTTTTCTTTTTATTTCAGAGGATGAAACCAGAGAGATTTAGGGGGAAACAAAGATGTTCACTAAAGTTCTTAATTTTGTATTTGGACTCTAACCAATTATAAGTTTCCCTAGCAAGGCACAATGAACAATCTTCTTGTAAATCTTTGATTGTTGGAACTTGGTTAAAAAAAGGTGTGTTCAGAAACAAGGACTATAAGACTACGGGAAATCTAGAACAGTGAATATGCTATGGGGTGGGAATGTGAGTAATTTTTTCCCCTCTTAAATTTCCAGTATTTGTTATAACTGGTAGAGATCTTTTTTTTTTTTTTTTAAGATTCTATTTATTTATTTGACAGAGAGAGACACAGTGAGAGAGGGAACACAAGCAGGGGAAATGGGAGAGGGAGAAGCAGGCTTCCCGCTGAGCAGGGAGCAGGGAGCCTGATGCGGGGCTTGATCCCAGGACCCTGGGATTATGACCCAAGCGGAAGGCAGACGCTTAACGACTGAGCCACCCAGGCACCCCACCCAGGCGCCCCACAGGTAGAGATTTTAAGATACAGGTACCCCCCCATCTGAAAGCTCACATCACACCCCTTTGCTTTTATGAAAGACCTACATTAGCACCTGTTTTTACCAACCAAAAGAAATCCAGAGAGAATTTTTGCTTTTACAAAGAAAAGTCATTATCACCCTAACATAGGTCTTTCGTAAAAGCAAAGTGGCCTAAGGTGAACTTTCGGAAGGCAGGGGATAATCTTCATTTTACGCCATTTCAGCTTATGAAAGGTTTCATAGGAATGTTCTTCTCAGATGGCAGGGGGAAATTGTGTCTCTGTTGGCAGAAATCAGTTTCACAATCTGGGAACCTGAAATAGTATGCTGTGTGCAGAAGGTCCAAATCAGGGGAGGGTTCAGATCTCCCCTTGCAGTTTCCTTACTCCTTGCTCCGGGCTGTGGAAAGATACCCTCCTTTGCACAAAAAGGGAAGCAGCTTAATTCAAATAATAAAGAAGGAATCCAAATAACAAATACAAGCCATCATTTCTAGTGTGGGAAGTAAGCGGGAAGAACGGCAGGGGAGAGACAGTATCTCTACCTTCACTAGGACTTTGAGCGGAATTAAATTTTATCATCAGAGGGAAGAGCACAATGAATACGACCCTCCAGAAAATGAGCTACAGCTCACCTTCTAACAGTGCTGTATGATTCTGGATGTGGGGCCTGACCCATGCTTACCTAAGTATCACCTGGTGGGATCTAAAACAGAGAAGGTGAAAGCACATCACACCTCCACACACACAAGGCAGGAATGGGGAAAAACATGGGAAGTAGCCATCGTATATTTATGTGCATACACTTGTTTTGTTTACCTTGTTGCAATAAATTCTTGGTCTGAACTGTGGGAGGCAAAGATTGATGACCATCTTTGTGGCTGAAAGGGTAGCTTCCAAGCATCAGAAATAGCCTTCAATAAAAAACAAAACTTGGTATTAGACAAGTTAAAGTTCAATTCTAAACTTTTAGGAGTTGATTCCTAAGGGAAGAGAATCAAACAGGGTAACAAAGACTTCCATGCACATGAGAATGGTCTCATCGTATCATACATGTAATGCTAAGGAAGAATGAGTCACCGAAAAATTGCAGAGGAGCTTTTTTTTAAGTTTTATTTATTTAAGTAATCTCTACCCCCAACGTGGGGCTCAAACTCACAATCCCGAGATCAAGAGTCTCACGTTCCACCGACTGAGCCAGCCAGGCACCCCGATAGAGGGGCTTTGTCTTGCACCCTGAGCAGGTTGGCCAAGACTGCTGGTTCTCTGGCTGACAGCTGGACCCAGTGGAGGCAAGGGCCTGTCAGCTCTGCAAGGGGCTCCCCACGGGAAAGGGAGGGTCAAAAGTGGCAGAGCATAGAGAATAGAACTACTCAGCCAGAGGGTTCCGAATGGAACAGGTCACAGAATATAATCAGAGTGCTAGGTATCTTTGTCATTTAACACCTGTCAATGCAATTGCATTTTCTTATTAAAACAAAAAATTAGAAGAGTCCAAAACACCATCATTGAGAAACAGAAAATCTTAGACTTGGAAAGCACCGTAAAAGGACATCTAATCCAAACAGCAATTTAATGACGAATGTCCAGGCTGGGGGAAATGGGTGAAGCTGGTCACAAGGTACTAACGTGTAGTTATAAGCTCTGGGGAGGAAATGTACAGCATGATGACTATAGTTAACACTGTATTGTATATCTGAAAGCTGCTGAGAGTAGACCTTAAAAGTTCTCATCACAAGGAAAAAAGCTGGAACCATGTGAGGTAATGGATGTTAACTAAACTGACTATGGTAAGCATTTTGTATTATATACAAATATTGAAATCATTATGTGGTACATCTTAAACTTATTCAATGTGATATGTCAATGAATAGCTCAATAAAACTGGAAGAAAAACAAAGATCAATGTCCAAAAGCCTTTGGTATTCTTTGTACAGAAGCAGGGAAACCACTAGAAATAGCCCTCCTAGCAGCAGGGCTTGCCAATGGCTCTGAACTCCTTGGGTGAGGCAAGCCAGGCATTCTATGTTTTTCTATCTGGCAGACAAGACAACAAAAACTGTCAGCCCGACAGGGACGGGGTTACCCTCTCGGGTCTGTGTTATCATGATCGGTAGGTACTTTCGGCTCAGGTCATGATCCCGGGGTCCTGGGATCGAGCCCCACTTCGGGCTCCCTGCTCAGTGGGGAGTCTGCTTCTCCCTCTGCCTCTGTGATCTCTCTCACTCCTGCTTTCTCGCAAATAAAATAAAATCTTAAAAAAAAAAAAAAAAAGAGGGAGATGAATCTGATGATGTAGAAAACCCTTGGCCTGAAGTCTCCTATTCTTTGTGAACCTGTGTTGAAATTCTTAGTACTTCACACTTTGTGAGGCATGCATGCCCATCTCTCTGTCAGAATATTCTAGAATCTGGCCTGGAATCAACATGGACTAGTTTATAGAATTCTTTTTTTCTCCCCCCGGGGAAGACTGTGTTAACAACGTTTCTGGCTTCTGACACTTCTCTTGTTCTCCACAACAACTCAAAAATGAGTGTATGAGGAACTGCACCTGCAAATGTTCTCAGGGCCCTTATATATGCCCCCTCTGGGCCAGGAAACCAGAACATATTCAGAGTAGCACTGCCCTCAGTTCTCCTGCCCAATTAGGGCAGTGGCTTCTTGTTAAGTCTTTTGGTTTTGTTGTCAATGTACAATTAAGCCATTGCCTTTAATTGAATATGGAAGCAGTAAAATGAATATAAAGCCCGGACCAAGGAAACGAAACACTTCTTCTGGAAAAGCCAGCCTAAAATGCCCCAAGAAGACCGATGACAGTGACACAGGTGGTGACATAACAGATGTGCGAGTGTGGGCAGGGCTGGCCCTGAGCCAACGCGAGGTCAGCCATTGCTGCAGGCCATCCAGACCTCGGGCTTTGTCCTGATGGGACGGGGCTTTGCTAGGAACAAGCAAGGAGACCGAAACTGTGTCATTACATCAAAATGCTGAGAGGTAGGTGAGATGAGTCAGATAAAGGGCCCCAGGTCTGCAATCACCTCCACCCCACCGTCCACTTCTTAGGCCTTTTCTCTCTCCGACTTTCAGGGACAAAAACAAACCCACAGAGAAACACTGTCAGCTCCTTAAAGTGTGGATCTGATTTCCCAGCGGGAGGCACTGATTTCACTAACCTTTACCTTCTTCCTATCTCCTTGTTATCTTCTTGGGACTTCATACTGTGGGCTTCTAACTTTCATTTATTCTACACATCATGACATTCATTTCTCTGAAAACTTAAATGCCAGGACCAGAACAAGTCGGGCAGGGGTCCTCTGGAAGCCACGATGAAGGGCTTACCTGTGAGTATGAAGCCAAATGGAAAAGTCTTCAAATACTATCCGAGGACCCAACTCAATCATAAATGGCAGCGTGAAATGAGGTTGCCCAGAAGTGACCGCCCTCAGGACTACTGTGCCCTTTGCCTTTAACCCTGGCTCAGCTATCACCCGATACCTGCTCCCGCGGTCGGACTGGAGAGGTGACCTGGATGAGGGCAAGCCAAAGGGCTTCCAAACTTCAGCTACCTCATAACTTTAAAAATCCCCCTTCAGACACCTGAGAGGGGAGACTGACTGTCCCTCCAACCAGCAGGATAAGATACAAGGTTTTATCTGCACCGTGTCATAGCAACACAAACAACTCCTAGTGAGTCATGAGACAAGGACCCTCCAGTAGCAAAACACAACTCCAGCTAGAAAGACACATACATAAGATGGCTTAGAGAAGGCCATCAGGGATTTTATTCAGTTTTAATCTTACTAACTGGTTAGCCCTCAAGTGGATACTAATGTCTTTAGTTTGCAGATGAAGACACTGTGGCTTAAAGAGAGGTGAAGCCAGCTTCTAAACCTTCCAAACCACTCTGGTTACTATCTACTTGGACACCATTTACCTTGAAGGATTTACTAGGAATTTTTTTTTTTTTTTTAAGATTTATCTATTTGAGAGAGAGAGAGTACATGGAGGGAGCGGCAGTGGGAGAGGATCTTCAAGCAGACTCCCCACTGAGTGTGGACCGCCCCCCCCAAGCATGGAGCCCGACATGGGGCTAGATCCAGTGACCCACAAAGTCATGACCTTAGCCAAAACCAAGAATCGGATGCTTAACCGACGGACCACCCAGAAGCCCCTTACCAGGAACTCATATGGACACTTTACAACTTTATTTTTTTTCCCCTCTTACTTAGGTCAGACTTTCATACCATTCATTTTTAAAAAATCTATTCTCCCAAACCTAAATTAATGTGGCTATCCTCTACAATGTAGAAATTTGGAAACCTTGACCGTGACTGCCACTTCCAACATGTATTGGATCAAGCCTCAAGCTGTTTTTTTAGGAAAATCTTTAGATATGCTAGCTCTCTACTCAAGCATCTTACCTCGTGAGTCTTCTCAACCTTCCTAAGAGGTTGTTAATACCATTAGCCAAATATTAAAGCATATGGACCTACATCTGACCAGACGTAGTTCACTTGTTCACAGCCCTTACCAAAATCTAATTTGAGAGAATATTTATGGAGACTGTTCAGTCCATCCACATTAAATTCTTTGTAACGCGAGTCTAAATGGCACCTCTTTTTCCTGCGCCCCACCCCCCCACCAGACTGCTGCATTCATATCCCACACCACCATCTCACAGGCTTCTTAGCAGTGTGGATCCTCAGCTATAGCAAAGATAAATGTAACATGCTGATAAAAATTTAGTGGCCTATCTGTGAAAATTCACAGGACACCAGGGTAGCACGACACATCACCTGGGAATCGTAACTGTAGTCTCTATAACATAACCTCCCCCTGAGCTGCTCCTCAGGGCAGTGTACTGGACCATCCTCATGTTCAAATCCCATACACAGCCATCACCACACTCCTGGAACCGCTGCAAATAGCTTTACCAACTACTGATTTTTTTGTGTGGCGCATTAGCAAGGAATTTCATAAGAAGCACCTCTGTGAAGCTGGCTCCTGTTTTATTAGGTTGTTAAGAGGATCATTCTTTACTCTGGATGGTATCCTCTTCGAAACCCATGAGAAAATTTTTGGTCTCAGTACTAGGAAAAGTTGTTTCTTCCGATCAACTCAATATTTTATGGTATGAATATGAATCATATAAATTGATCATGATCCTTTCTTTATTTTGGCTGCTGGAAAGCTCAGAATAAATCTGTGGCCCATCCCTCCAGATTTCTCTTTGCCTGAATTCTTCAGTTATTTTTATGCCATAGTGTGTATATATTTTGAAAGCTACCTTAAAATCATTATGGAACAAGACAGAGTAAAATTAACAAACCACTCTCCTTCTGGTAGACATTTAGGTTGCTGGCAACTTTTTACTATTACAGTATTAAGATAAAAATCTTGGGGAACCTGGGTGGCTCAGTCGGTTAAGCACCTGCCTTTGGCTCAGGTCATGATCCTAGTGTCCTGGGATCGAGCCCCCCATCAGCCTACCTGCTCAGCGGTGAGTCTGCTTCTCCCTCTCCCTCTGCCCCTAACCCCCCTTCCCGCTCATGCTCTCTCTCTTGCTCTCTCTCTAATAAATAAATAAAATCTTAAGGAAAAAAACCCCATAAAAATCTTAAGTCAATTTTTGTCTTAGTACAATTTTGACTTTTTTTCTTAAGGAGTCCTACATGTCTCTTGTTAAGGTGGCTATTTATTAATAGGATCCTTTTATCTCATTAATTATTCTAACCAGTTTTGCTATATAGAGGAAACTTTTTCACTTGGGTATCTATAGTATGTTCAGCTGTCTTATTAAATCAATTGATTTTAACAGATTTTCAGTTGTTTTTTTAGGGGGGGTTTCTACAATCTCAATAATGAGAGCCTCTTTCTCAAAACGGTAACCCTTTTGTCTCTCATCTTCATTAGC